ATCACCTAAGGCTCTATTGCCTGTTCTCAAAAGAAAGTATATATCTACCCATACACATACATAGTACATATATACACATGCTACACACATATACAAGCATATATATCCCATATAAATATAAATATTAATCATTATCCATTTTGAATACATAGCAGAAAAAAACTTTGGCTGCCAAGGTGCATCTCTGGATGCAATGTATAAACTGAATTTCTTTGTGTACTTTGTGTACTTAACATCTGGTTGAAGTTAAAATTAAAATAAATTAAAATAAGTTGAAGTTAAAATAAGTGAATAATAATAATAATAATAATAATAATAATAATAATAATATGACAAAGTAGCAACAATGGTGCATTGGAAGATCTGCAAAAAATATCATTTACCTCTAAGCAAAAACTGGTGGGATCATAAAATAGAGAAAGTCATAGAAAATGATAAAATTAAACTGCTCTGGGACTTCAGAATTCAAACAGACAAGCACCTGCAACATAACACCCCAGACTTAACAATTGTCGATAAGAAAAACAAAAAAGTCTGGATAGTAGACGTGGCAGTGCCTGGAGATAGCAGAATAGAAGAGAAAGAACTGGAGAAGATAACAAAATACAAAGACCTACAAATAGAAATAGAAAGACTGTGACAAAAGCAAGCAAGGGTAGTACCAATAGTGATAGGTTCCTTGGGTGCAATCCCAAAACAACTGGAGCACCACTTGAACACCATTGACATTGACAAATTCGCTATTAGTCAATTGCAAAAGGCGGCCTTACTAGGAACTGCTTCCATCCTGTGACGATATCTGTAATACCATCAAACATCCACATCTGCCTATCCCAGGTCCTGGGTGAGGACTCGATAGGTAGTCAAAATGCCAAATCCAGTCTGAACATCTGGCTGACTGTGCGATGATCCATAATAATAATAATAATAAATTGGAAGGGACCAGGAGGTAATCTAGTCCAACCCCCTGCTCAAGCAGGAAACCTTGTACCATTTCAGATAAAGGCTGTCCAGTTTCTTCTTAAAAACTTCCAGTGTTGGAGCATTCACAGCTTCTGGAGGCAGGTTGTTCCACTGGTTAATTGTTCTAACTGTCAGGAAGTTTCTCCTTAGTTCTAGGTTGCTTCTCTCCTTGATTAGTTTCCATCCATTGCTTCTTGTCTTGCCTTCAGGTGCTTTGAAGAATAGCTCAACTCCCGCTTCTTTGTGGCAACCCCTGAGATATTGGAACACTGCTATCATGTCATTCCTCATCCTTCTCTTCATTAAATTAGACATACCCAGTTCCAGCAACCGTTCCTTATATATTTTAGCCTCCAGTCCCCTAATCATCTTTGTTGCTCTTCTCTGTACTCTTTCTAGAGTCATAACATCTTTTTTACATCGTGGTGACCAAAACTGGATGCAGTGTGGTCTTACCATGTATGAGGGTCCAATCTGGGTCAGTCATCAGGACCAGACAAAATCTCTGGTCCCAGTGCCTGATCCAGATTGGATTCTGCATCCTTATCCTGGGACACGTATGTTTGCCTTCATTTATATGATAAATGTATGAGACTCATGTTTGAGTCTAAATGTACAAGGCTAGAATAAGATGAAAATTAGGTAGAATATTTATAACACACACTTTCAGCTAAAATTAGATATAAAGGAATTTATTTGATTTCTTTTATACTTTAGAAATTATGATCATTGATCCAATCCTAAATTGTTAGGATGTTGTTGAATACTCCAAAAATCAGCCAATGTCATATGCTGATTTAGGGCTTTTAAAAGTAAATAAAAACTGATTAGGAACAGATCTTCTTGGATAAAATCTATGTGGTCATTAGAAGTTAATAATGACTTGACAGTCTGTAATGAATCAAAAGTAAATAGTATTTTATTGTTTTCTGAAAAAAAGTAATCTCCCCGTTATATGAGATAATTTTATTCTTGTGGCATTATAAGTACCTGGACTAGGCATTGAGCAAATAAAGAAAAGCTAAGCAATGAGTGAAAGGGAAGGACTTGGGGAAACAGCATGGAGAAACATAACTTTTCAGGAAAGAGGACTTAGATGCTTATCTACTTCTATATCATATTAGGTCTTCTGAATGAAGTAAGTAACTGTATATTGACTTTTTTTTAACCTATCCTCCAAATGCCCATACTTTGAGATGTCAGAATATGAGATAGTGAGGGCTCATAGGCAGCTTTTTTGTTTAGAGCTACTAAACATTATTTATTGTGCATCTGGAACATACTACAGTATATTAGTATTTACATGTCCAATTGAAGTTCAAGAGCAATTGATCCCTCCAAATGTTTTGGGGAACTGTGCCAAAGTTTGCAAAACTGTTCTGACCCCTATGTGTTTGGAGATATAACTTTCTTATTTGTAGTAATCAGGTTTAATATAACTATGGTCTAGAAACATATTTCTCCAAGGGCAAGTTTGAAGGATAGTTAGCTGTGTACCTATAGATTTAGATTGTACAAATGCAGAAAAAAACCCCAGATACAATACTGCTTAGGGCACAGGTAAAGTTGTTAGCCAGTAATAACCTCTAGTTTAGGTCATTCAGTTCTTGTTTAGGAAACTGCTCTCAGATAGGGAATGACTTACTTATTTGGTGGAGATTTTTATTGTTTTAATGTTTTTAACTTGTTTCAATTATTTCGTAATTTTAGAATTGTAAGTCATCTAGAGTCACTTGGTTGAGTTGGAGAGAGGGAGAGAGGGAAAGGGAGAGGGAGAGAATTAGAATAAACATTATAGTTGAAAAATAACTACCGATTAAATTAATAACCCCTCCTCCTCCTCCTCCTGCTCCCCCTCCTCTGCCTCCTCCTGTATATCAAGCAACATCAACCCCTGAAAGAGCAGATCCACAATATGGGAAATTTCCTGAACTCAAGTTACTATCAGATACATAGATGGAGAGGCTATGTCTGTACCAGTTACCCAGATCAAGTTCCAAGTGCAGTGGCCTGCTTATTGGTAAATCCAAGGTGCCATTAACCACATAAGACCTGTTTTGTGGTTATTGTTTTTGTTACGTGCAATTTGAAATATTCATTTTAATCTGCAATGCCCTGTATGGCTTGGCACAAAGGGATCTACTGTACTAGCTTTTCCATATACCTATGTACACACCATCAAAACCTCTTTAGTTATCCAAAACTTGATGGAGAGATGTAGCTAAAGTTCTGCCATTTCAGACCCCATATTTTGAAACATTTCCCTCTCAAGGTTAAATTAGCACTTACACAGCTGGCCTTCTGAAAACTGTTGAACACCAAATGTGGGAGCAGATTTTTGATGGATGAAAATTATTGCCATTGAGCCTGTTTTTACTTGTCACATTTGTATTTGCTTATTTTTATTCTGCTTTTACTGATTGATCCCTGGTGGCACAGTGGTTAAAGTGCACTGTTGCAGGCAAACAGTGCCCACAGCCTGGAGTTTGATCCTGACAGGGCTCAAATTGACTCAGTGTAGGAGGTGACCAGACATAGCCCGAGGAAAGGATTAAACACACCATCAGCCTTGAGTCTCTTCGCGCCCACAAGAGTTCTAAATCCAGCCCAGCTTGAATTCCATTGACTTTTATCTACTGCCAATTTGCTTTGACCATTGGTAGTTCAGATTCTTGTAGAAAGCTTAAACTTATAATAAACCTTTATATATATATTTGAACTGCCTGAGTTTCCTGATTTGCACACATGACACTCAGCCTTCCATCCTTATGAGATTGTTGGGGGCAATATGCAAATAATGCTTACATTATAAACCGCCCAGAGAATGTTGTATATAAGCCTAAATACTATTGCTATTGCTATACAGTATGTAGGCACAGTTTTTCTGATAATGAATTTTCAAGAGTTGTTAATATTGTGGTGATATAGGACACAAATACAGTATAAACACGATAAAACAGCCAGATATTATAAATTACTTCACTTGCAATTCTTATAACCTTTGATGGAAATTCACTGCTTAGGAAGGTCTTTAAACTTTAATCTTTAAATTTAAATGCTATTCATTTCCTTTAATCAGGTTTTCAGTGTCTCCACTGAGGTACACTGTCAGTGAAATTTTTGGAAGTCAAAAGACTTCCATCATTTTAGATATTGTCTTTGTAATTAGCTATTAAGTATATATTCAGTTCTACTCTATATTGCTGAAGTGATTAAGACTTTGATTCAATATTACTATATTATAATATCCCATGGTAGCCAATGTGGTATAATCATTAAAGTGCTGGACTGAGACACTGAAGCTAGATAGGTAGTTTTAGGCCAATCTCTCTCACTCAGCCTAGGCTGGGAGAAAAAAAAATCTATTTAGTTATCTGCACTATATTATTATCCTACACATAGGATCAGAAAAATCTCTTGAGGACAAAGGTTGGCAATATATTATTTGTGGACCCCATAACAGCATATCATAATGGTATTTGTGAAATATCTATGTGGAAAAAAAGCATGCTAACAATAAATTTTAATAGCTTGCTTACTGAATCTTGTGACATTTTAGCAATCTCACTATGACATTTGATGAGTAAAATTCTGTTTTGAAATTGTTGAGACCTCTGGCATTGCCCAACATCAATACTGATCTCGTTACTTGAAAAATATGGCTTTCTATTGATTTATGGACATAGGATAATCAGTTTAATATAATTAAGTTGGCTATGTTGAATAGCAAGCTGAATTATTTGTCTAAAACAGAAACGATCATTTCATTACATAATTTGCTAAAATGTGGTAAAATTTCAGAATTCAGTTCACCTCCTTGAATTCTGCACATCTTTAAATTTATGCTTCATATAGCACACATCCCATGAACTTTGCCAATAGTTTCTTATGTAGGTTTTTTTATCATAGCCACATGTACAACATTTATTTATGTGATTATAGTTACTTAGCACAAAGTGAGCAATTGAATCAAATACTAAACCAAAATCAGAGATAAAAAATATTTTTTCATTATAGTATTCTTGCTGTATTTGCAGGTTCCATATATGATGGTCTGTCCGAGGGCTATAACTATGGAACAGCCCGTGGTAGCTACTATGCCAAAGCCCACACAGGAACAAATAACTGGGGCCATACGGTAATTTTTTTATTTTTCTTTGTTTGCTTATTTATTTATTTATTTATTTATTTATATATTTTGGTCATATGGTCAGGAGTAGGAAACTCAAATTATTCTCAGGTTTATTTAAAGCCATGTTTAGAAGGGCTGAAAGATAGTATGGTTAATTGGTTCAAGGAGATAATCAACAGTTTTCTGATGATTTAAAAATATTAATCTGATTTTGTATAATATTTTATGATATTCCAGCAACCAGAGAATACTGGTCTCATTTGCTAAAATTCTCTATGTTTTATATGTTGCATTTTCTGGCTGTAAGGCTCTAATATAGATTAAATTAAGGTATTATTTTATAGAAAAGAGAAGGTTCATATTTTTAAATAAGTTTCAAATAAGCACATGTAAGCAAGGTATTAACTATTGAAATCTATAATTAACTTGCTGAGAAACTTGGTAATTATAGTCCGAATGCATTTGTAGGCTGGTAAATTGGGGAAATTTGAAGACCAACAGTAACCCTTTGTGTTTCTTGATTCTACATTTCTAACTGGTTCTTAGAGAAAGGTGGTATGGGGATTTCTAGACAAAACAGACATTGAATTCTATGTTTCTCTAAGCAGGGGAACATGACTAGATTTAAAGGTCTTTTAGGGAAAAAGATAGACATTGAATTAGTGCAGATATATTGTTTCAGAGAAATTAGAAAGCATAAAATTTTATTTTCTGGTTAACCATAGTTACTCAGTTAAAATATTAAATGACTAAAAGCTATGTTGAAATTGGTCAGCCTTTTAACATAAGCTAACATATAGCTGACATTTTTAATAAAAAATACATTGAGCTGGGCATAGAAGCTGTCTTAGATAGCAGATGCTCAGATGAGACCAATGTAGCATCTGAGAATGCTACCCACCCTGCCAACCAAGCCCTTTGCTACTATACTGCCCTTGGTGCATTGGAAAATTATATTCCATCAGTAGGTTGAAGTAAGCAGCTTTATTTTGTGAAATCCTCCTCCTCCTCCTCCTCCTCCTCCCCTCCTCCTCCTCCTCCTCCTCCCTCTTCTTCTTCTTCTTCTTCTTCTTCTTCTTCTTCTTCTTCTTCTTCTTCTTCTTTCTTCTTCTTCTTCTTCTTTCTCCTTCTCCTTCTCCTCCTCCTCCTCCTCCTCCTCCTCCTCCTCCTCCCCTCCTCCTCCTCCTCCTCTCTCCTCCTCCTTCTTCTTCTTCTTCTTCTTCTTCTTCTTCTTCTTCTTCTCCTCCTCTTCTCCTTCTTCTCCTCCTTCTCCTTCTCCTTCTCCTTCTCCTTCTCCTTCTCCTTCTTCTTCTTCTTCTTCTTCTTCTTCTTCTTCTTCTTCTTCTTCTTCTTGATATTTCAGTCAGGAATAAAGGAAGGCTGCTTTGAAAAGTCAACAAGTCATCTGAAGCTTGTAAGACTTTAATGTATTGGTTTGGATTTTACACTAAAATAAAAAGAGTATGAAAATCTCATACATAGTTGATTAAAATATCAGGCTAATCAGCTCAAGATCAATTTGGATTCAGAAAGAGTTTTCATACTTATACTCATGTACACTACCCATCACCCCCAAGGGGCTGGAAAACCTTGAGTCAAGGCAACTGAACAGCTTCCAGGTATGAAAAAGGAAACCATTCTGTCTGTCTAAAATTAAGCTGTCAGATAAAATTAAGCTGTCAGGATAAGAGTCCATGAAAACTATGTGGTAGACTAAAGACAATAGAAGATGCCTTTAGTATGAAACATCATTTGTTAGTTTCCTAGTGAAATGTATATGGAACTTGATGTTCAGCATATACTTTGATTGTAAATCTGGAATAGTTGAACAAAAATAGTTTTTTTGGTTTTTGTGGGAAGTTGTATAACTAGGATGTGTGGCAATCAAAGTTAGAAATATAGTGTGCTAAAATAGGTGTGGTGTAAGTGCATGGATATGTGAAAGAGAGAGAAAGAGAGAGAAGAGGAGACAATACTCATTTAAAGTCCCTTCAAGTTACCATCCTTTTAATCAATTCAGGAAGAAAAGAACACACATCTGACAATTAAATGAATATATGCTAGATTGTTCCTATGCCTTCCAGAACAGAAATAAAATAATAATAGCAATAGCACTTAGACTTATATATCACTTCACAGAGCTTTACAGTCCTCTCTAAGTGGTTTACAGAATCAGCATATTGCCCCTACAATCTGCCCCTTATTTTACAGACCTCGGAAAGATGGAAGGCTGAGTCAACCTTGAGCTGGTGAGAATCGAACTGCTGAACTGCTGGCAGCCAGCAGTCAGCAGAAGTAGCCTTCTGCATTCTAACCACTGAGCTACCATGGCTCTTAATTAATTATCAATTTAATTATCAATTCAGTGAAAAATGTGGATAGATATATGTAACAGAACCATGGTATTTAGTCTTATTTTTGTTGGCTTTACAAGTTTATGTGTTCCAGTTGTGTGTAATAGACTGGGGTGAATTATTTTGGCAAGCAGAATTAAGGGTGTGTGTTGTACTCTGGTGGTAAGCTATCATATTTTATTACCTTGGTTTTTCCCTCAGGCTTGATAGACACTCCTTCTCAACGTGTTCGCGCAAATATACCATCTGCTGCTGGAGAAACAAACCAGTCAGTTTTTTTTAATCAAATGTTTCTGAGAAAAAGCTGCTGGCCTACTTAAGGGAATTAAAAACATTCAGCACAGTTTTCAGTTGTCATCTTATTTGAGTTAACTGAGTGGTGTGGCACTTCACTTTCTCAGTTATACAGGGTAGAGAATGAGAGCAATCTGCTTCAAAAAATACATAGTGACCAGATTAAAATGCTGCATACAGCATAATATTTGTTTCATAATTGCTTTGGGGATCATATTAGGCTTGTGAAAAATCACTGTAATCATTATTTACTTAGGTGTTAAGAGAAGCTTAATTTATGTTGTAAAAAAGTGTTGGACTATATTTGGTTGGGAAAGTGGCATATTATAGACCTGGATTATTTAGATGATGTATTTTCAGCCTAGGTACTACGTCATCATTATTAATATCATCACTCAACTCAATGTTCCAGTGAAATCAGATGATTGCCAAGAATGTACACTAATGTTAGACTAACTAAATCTCCTTGCCATTTGGAATATCCCACCTCAAGAAATGAGGTGGGCCTGAATTTGGCTGGACTTTTGGAAGTGTTTGAAGACCCAACTCACTTGAGGCTTGCAGAGAAGCAAACAACCCTGGGTTCAGTTAGAGCCTTTAAGGACCTCCCCATTCCTTTTAAACTTTATTTTGTTTCTGTTTTAATTGCCTCTTCTATACAATATTTATAGGGGGGGTTGGTTTTACTTTTTAATTATACACTGCCCGGAATCACTCTGGGAGTGAGAGAGGTGGTCTCCAAATATGATATATAAATAAATACAACAAATAAATATCTAAACTAATAAAATCTCAACACTGCTGGATTTCTCTGCTTATGACAAATGCTCCTTGTGATAAAAAGTAGCATTTATGTTTAAGAAATTGTATTTTAGGTTTTAATTAAGAAATGGGCAGTAAAGAGTTTCTTCCTCTGATCTTTTTATAACAATGAAATTAATGGCATCCATTCAGCAATGCTAAAAAATGCCTATTTTTCAGAATTATGTTTCCAGCGTACCATTCAACTCACAAACACAATCCAGTTAGCCTAGAAGTGATTATTCATTTCTATTATAAGAGGATACTTATATTCTAGGTTTAAAAAAGTTGGTAGATTTATCATAGCATCCATATTAATTGATCATTTTACCAACTGGTAATTGAATTCACCTTCAGAAAAGGAAACAGATTCTGATCCTCCTCTGCACCTTCTCAAAATGCCCTTGAAGACTAAGATGCAGATTTCCCACAGTTGTTTCATGCCAAGAAACAAGGATTCACTATTACAGTTTGCTTCTGGATATAGTTTCTTGGGTATCAGAAAGGTTGGTTCAGTACCTTCAAGAGATGTGTTCCTTTCATTAATTTCATTCTTGATCCTTTTCTTCATAAACTGTGCTACAACTGGGGAACTACTGGGAGTAGCCTTCTCTCTCTCTCTCTCCCTCTCTCCCTCCCTCCCTCCCTCCCTCCCTCCCCCTCTCCCTCCCTCCCCCTCTCCCTCTCCCTCTCCCTCTCTCTCTGTCTCTCTCTCCTCTCTCTCCCTCTTTCATCTATCTTCTATCATCTATCCAATTTTAAAATTGCCCATCTTCCACACAGAGGCATTCATTGTTTGGTGAAATGGAACACTGCAATCTTCTTCTTGAACCTTGAAAAATGTGCACATGCTGTTCCAATTGCTTCTGGCCATATTTAATCAAGGACCCACTTTCATGGCTCTGCAACCACTTTATTGTTCCAGTTTATAATGCACATTTGTTTCTGTTTTCCCCCAATGTAAATCTTGTCATGGACATGAATGGCAGCACTTCCTTCATGCTGATGTTTGGTATTGATGAAGACTGGATCTTGCCAAGGTCCTATAAGCAAGTTCAAGTTGCTACAGGCACACCCTCTCCCTTCTGTTCATTGTGCACTGCCCTCCATGGTCATTTTGGTTTTAGCTGGAGAGATGCTGTGTGCCAAGGTATTTGCTCATGCAATGCTTCTCTAGTGCTGGTCAGACATCATGCAGATGTAGAGCTCTTCTGAATAATACTAAAACATATATATAAAAATAGATTTACACATAATTAAAAAAGAGGACTAGTGCTGTGTTGTACAGAAGATTGGTTTAGACTACAAGAAAATTAGATCGTAACACTCTGCGTTGTGGATGTTGTTCTAAATACTTTCATTACCGATTTTCCTTTTACCAGCAAAGTTTTATGGGTGGCCATACTTATTATTTGGTGGATCATAATATTTTATCTTCTGCTAATATTTTCATACTCCATGGGTGACTTCTGAGTGATGCTGGCCACAGTCACTAACTCCCAACATTGCCATTTCCATGATTGATTGCTTTCAATCAATCCTTTCTAATTCATCCTTTCTCCTTCTGTGGTTCAACTCTAAGTTTGGATAATAGCATGGAGGGAAAATGAGAGAGGGACTCTGACAATGTACCTAGAGAACTCTCTCTTACTTCAGTCCCTACCACTTCCCCATACATATGACCGTTTGGCTGGTCTTTTTTTAAACATGGGTTTTATATTTCTCCAGGGTGATAGATTGGAATACTGTAGGTGAGATGTTATTCAGGGGACTTGAAAGGTGGTTAAACCTTTTCTCTTGAGGGCACCTGCCACCCTCAGCCCATCCCTTTCTAGAACATATTAAGGCGACCATTATTAAGGTAATGCTTAGTGGGAAGGGAAATAAATCCAGGGAATCCACCAATGACTTTCTTTAATTTATCCTGCATGAAACCTGCATCATTGTTACAGAGCCAGACTAGAGTTTGGTTGTCAGCACAGTCCAATTAATCTTGGCATCCTTTTCTGCTGACTCAAGAAAAAGAAGAATATAGATGAGTACAGCCATGAAGAAAAGCCCTACATGTTGGTTGAGACAGATTAAAAAGCAGTGGCAGCTAGGTTTATTTTATAAGTTAACATGTATTTTTATTTCAGTAACAAGGGATATCAGAAACAGCAATTTGGCAGAGATGTCTAGTCCCTGGGGCATTAACTACAAACAAAAGCTAGCTATTATGTTCACATTAAAGACTAAACATATTATTTGTGTGCGACTTCTGTTTTCTTTTGCAAGCATCCACATCATGCATCTGGAAGGAGAACAAACAGAAAAGGTGTGCACAAATATGTATGCATCTACATAGCTTATTTTGAGTTTGTGGGAAGAGATTGCATTTTGGAATGAGAAACTATTTTTCATTACAAATGAGATATTAACATATTCTTTTTCCCGGTAAATCTTGGGAATTGTGAATGCCATGTTTTGAGTTTTGGAAAGGCATTTTTTTTGTTTTGTTTTGTTTAACAAAAGAAAAAAAAGGCAAGTCAGTGCAAGTACAGACCGAAAATATAGTCTGTAGAGAGATGGAAAAACAGCTTGGTTTGTGTGAAAAGAAGCTCATTATCAAAACCCTTTTAGAGTTCTAGGCCTCATTCTTTTTCAGGAATCAAAGTGGCTTTTTTGGTATGCCGTATTGCAATGTGTGATTATATTTACCTGCAAAGAAGATTGAGGGTTTTTTCCCAAATATTTGATCTTTAAAATGGATTACTTTAGATTTATAAGCATATTAAGGCAGATTAGTTTTCCTTCTAAGATCTTCCAAAGTATAAGGGGTGTGGGTATTTTTGTGTGCCTCAAATTCAGGGTCATTTTCCTTTTATGTAGAAACATGAAGTGTTCCTGAAACATCTGCTCTGAAAGTTAAGCATAAACTCTCAAGTTCACATAACTCTTCTTTCAATGTTAGGTTAGACTACAACAGAACTTCTCATTAAAATAGGGGGGAGATATTTTTTCAAAACTGACAGGTGTCAAAAAGTTCTTTATTTCAGCAAGGTTATATTTTTGCTACAAAATGCCTCCTAGAATTTGGATGACTAAATTATGTATTCATTAACAAAAACATTCTCCAAGGGAAATATTAATTATTCTTGGTTTCAGTACAGACAATTATTAGAAAGGTGGAGGATAGATCAAAAAGTGGGTTTGATTAGCGAGGATGTGATTTTGTTGAAACAAATTAAAGACCAAAGTCGAATTCATATAAAAAGAATTTATGGTGTTTTAGTGCAATTGGATTCAGAAACAGAATTAGTTAAAGATTGTATGGTTAAATGGGCTCAAAATTTTGAAGAGCCGATTTTATTAGATACATGGGAGATAATTTGGGTGAGAAATGTTAAATTTACACAAGCTCAAAATTTACGAGAAAATTTTTACAAAATGTTTTATAGGTGGCACCTTGATCCACAGAAGATGTCTCGTATGTATCCAAATCTGCAGCCTAAATGTTGGAGATGTGATTGTTTGGATGCAACGTATTATCATATTTGGTGGTCATGTAAAAATATAAAGGCTTTTTGGATTAAGATTTGGTGGAATATTCAAAAAATTTTTAATAGAAGGATAAAATTTACACCACAACTGTTTTTGTTAGGTATTATTGTTGATTGTGATAATAAAGAAATTATTTTAATGTTGAATTTAATTACAGTGGCAAGGCTGCTGATAGGGCAATACTGGAAGAAGGAGTTTTTGCCTACTTTAGAGGAATGGTTTTTTAAAGTTTCTTATTTATCTGAAATGGCAAAAATTTTGGCTTATTTGAAAGATCAATCGCAAGAAAAATATTTTTGGGTGTGGAAAAGATGGGTGAATTTTATACAGCACAAATATGAGATTAAAAAGTATTATCTAGCTTTTGAATAATTTATGCTTAAGGTAACGATTAGAACTACTGCTTTGTTTTGTTTTTATATATTGGAGTTAAAGTATTTAAAATTTTGTTGTTTTTTTGAATGTATTTATAATTGTTTGATGTTTATTTAAGTTGTAAGGTTTTTTTTTAGTTTTTATTAACCCTGTATTCAACTCTGGGAAGAAGGGGGGAGGATGATGGGTGGGAGGGGGGTGGGAGAGGGGGATTATTTTATTGTAAAACTGCAAAAATTTTCAATTAAAAAAAAACATTCTCCAAGGGGTCAGCTTAAATTAGACCTTCCCTACCTTGCATCTTCCAGATGTACTGGACAACACGTGTCAGAACTGCTAGCCAGACAGCATGAAATGTGTAATCAGATACGGCTAAGATATAAAGAATCTCACAAAATCTCCGCAGATGCTATTACATACTGGTAGAATATATTCATATGTATGGCAACAGGTATTGTACTAGCATTCCCACTTCATTATCAGAATATAAAATTAGTTGCAACTGTTTAGGCTAAAGTGGCAGTGTAAACTATATACAATGTGAGTATATACCTTTGAACAGAATGGAAATGCCTTCTTTGTAAATCAAGCATTTAGACTGGATTGTATAGAAGCATGATTTGTTTAAAATTGGAACTCCAATAAGTGAAAATGGGAATCATTATAGCAAATTAAATCAATACAATTGAGACTAGAATGGATCCATAAAAGATGATTTACAATTTCCTGCCCTCAGAACAGAGCTATTAATTATTATCATATGCAGACGATCATATATATTTGTGCACATGGCCTTCTGGATATTGCTGAATTATATCCCACAACAATTGCTCCACTAGTTTGGGCTGATGAATCTTTAATGGCAACAGAATATATGAAAATCCACATATTAAATATTTCCTTGAGGATTTATAAAACTTATGATAAATATCTACATAAGTAAATGTAGAATTTTATTTGTAGTTTTTTTAAAGGTTGCATTAGATTTCAGTGTAGGGAAATAAGATGAAAACTGCTTTGAGCAAGTGAATCTTGGACATCCTCATTCCTATTACATTGACATAAAAATAGATGAGTCGAGTAGATCTAAGGATAATATTATACAATATCGACAATAATATTAGTAATCCTTAGAGGTGGTAAGAAATAATATATATTCTTATGCAGGGCAGTCTCCGCCAACATGGAAAGCCATGTTTTAAGGGGTGAAGACAGCAAGAAGACTAGATATAATAAGAATTGGTGTTTGAAAGATGCAACAAAACTTTGCCAGTTTATACTCTATTAAGTGGAGTGACTATCTATGCATGGAATTGCATTTTGAAAATATTAACTCTCAGTTAGATGCCATTTCTGAAAGCAGCATGTGTTTGCCCCTTATTCAGCATGATTCATTCACTGTTCCTATCAAAGTAAATGTTACTTTCATTGCATCCAGCACCCAATCTCTTCCAGTTTTTTTCCTTTGTCAATCAGATGAAGAATAAAAGTAATCAAAGACATTTGTTGGTTTTCCTTCCCTTCTGCCTTCTTTCTGTGTCCATCAGTTGTATAATGGAACTCTCAAAAGAAATGCAGCTGAGAACAAACGCTACAGTTCCTACAGCCAAATGGACAGTTGGGGTAACAGGCATTATAACAAGATCTGCAGTCCTACACATCCTGGCAGTGACTACTGTTTTGTGCAGAACATGAAGAGTAGTCGGAGTGAGCCAGACCTCTACAATGACCCTCCACGAGGCACACTAAGGAGGAATCAGAGTGGAAGCCGAGTGAGTCACAAGACCAGTCTACATCGTAACAGCCTCTACAGCAATACATGCAACAATCAGGAAGGAATTACAACCCTCACAAGGTCAAATAAGAGAATTCCAATCCGTGCCCCCTCTTGCTCTTTTGCTAACAAGCAAGATGCAGTCTATGCCCAGCCTGTTGCCAGCAAGCCTGATGCAATCTATGGACAAGATCGTTCCAAGTAAGTCTCTGTGCGTGTTTTCTCTGTGCAGCCCACGATGTGGGAAATTACATGCAAGTAAAGACAGATATGGTAATAGTTAAACAGCATTATGAAAACCCATTTGGAGCACTTTGGTTTCCATCACCTTGAAAATACTAATTAATAGTAATAATAATCACTTCCGAACCTTATTCTGGCACACTTCATATGACTTTGATAGAATTTGCTTGAGGTAGAAAGCCATTTAGGCTACAAATCTAAGCAAGCCAATTAGTAAGTAACCCTATTAGAATTGCATGGTGTGGCTGTCAGTTATGTATAAAGAACCTTTAGGTAAAAAAATAAGTGGTATCCATATTTAACAGGAGACAAATACTGTTGTTGTTTATTAATATATTTCCCTGCTACACCATTGTTAGCTGAATATTTAGCACCACAGTTTAATATCTATTCAATGATTGAGTTCTTCCAAAGAAAAACTATATATCAAGATCTGAAAATTCCAATAGAATTTTTTTTTATTTTACTTAACCTATATTCAACCATTGGAATAAAAAGAAACCCAATAATAATCTGTATATTCTTAAAATGCTTAATCAGTTAGAAATATTAGCTACTCATGAACATTGGATAGTTTGCTATGTGGCTCAGCTTCTTTTGTGGAATGCTCACTTAAATAGAACATAGAATTTACTATAGTTTTATGTACAAATGGAATAATTAAAGCAGCTATGTCTTTTTCTAGGTTTACAGTACATAACAGCTTCTAGGGGTCTGTATGATTGTTTTTGAACATACTTTTGGAGACAACTGGAAACAGTTTCTGAAGAAACAGTGCATACTTGAAAATGTATATGGTTGCTTTAACTATGTGGAAGGAGATGAGTTTCATGCACCCCTATATGTTCTGCAGCAGTTCTTTAAAGTAATTGCATGCTAGATTCATCTAACTATTTAAAATTAGAAGATGCAGAGACATGTATGTATGAGCCAACATTGGAAACCTTCCTGAAAATGAGGTGGATGATTGTACACAAACTGTTCTGTTGTAATAAAATGTTTTAGGACTATTCTACATGCAGCAGTGCAAGTGGCATGCTAGAGTTTAAAATCAAGCAGTCTTCCCAAACCTCTCCTTAAGAAATGATGATTGCAGATCCAGGTTCCTATTAGAACAGAGTTTTTTCATCTCTTAAACTACTGTGTGGGAAACACTTTCCTCTGCCAAACATCTTTCAGGAGTGGCCCCTTTGGAGCACCCTTTCCAGTTGGGTGTGGTTCACCTTGTGAAACTGGTCCAGATTGGGGAGTTGTTTGCCTTGAAGCACAGGCCTGGCTGGTAACTCTTCCTTCTAGTTGAACCAGTTCCTCTTTGGGAGCTGTTTCATTTCTAGAACTAAGACTGCTTGGTCCTGTACCACAGTGGGAATGGGACAGGGATTAATGTGATTGTTTTAAAAATGGCACCAGTGAGTGAGTCACTTATGAGATCATCCAGAATGGAAAGTTCATTTCATATAGTTCTGTTGAAATAAATAAATGCTTAGAAATGTGCACCCTCCTAAGGAGCTGACAGTTTAATTCTTGAGAGCTAAGAGAAGCTGGAAGTTTTTTTTTCACATACATTATTCTCCTGGTCAGTTGAAATTTGGAGCTTCTATTACAGAGATTTGCTTAATATATGTAAAGGGGAAAACAAGCTTAAGGCTAGAGTAATGAGAAACTGGTCAAAATTGAAATTTACTCAACAATTTTGCCCAACTCTGAGTACAGAACCCAGATAATGAGTTCTTGCAGTTTCTGATGAAAAGTGATTCTACTACTGAACTGTGATTGCCCTGCCTCTTGCACCTTAGCCTTGCCTTTTTCCTCTGTGGAATCATCCCATTCAACATTCATGCCTTTGAATGTGCTAAAGCATTCCAATTATGGTTATGAGTTGTGGTCAAATAGTGCTCAATAAGTCTTTCCCAACAAGCTGAAGCCCTTTGAATCTATTTAATCTAAGTCCAAATTCAAGTCAATAGTTTTAGGAATTTTCTTTACATGTCTCTTAAAAACACCAAAATGAGAGAATTTATGCCTTAAAGACTAAGGATAAATCCAGTGGTGGGATTCAGCCAGTTTGCACCACTTTGGCAGAATTGGTAGCTAATTTTTTTGTTGCCCAGGCCCAGAATGGACTTCCAGAAGTGGCTTCCATACAGAAAACTAGTTGTTCACAAATTTGAATCCCACCACTGGATAAATGATCAAGAATCTATTATTCCTGTCGTTTTTAAAAAGGGCTTGCAAAAGAGCAGAAGTTGTGATCCAAATCTCCATCCTTACACAGTTGGGTCAGGACATTTTAATGTTACTACCTCTATTCTTCATTCCCTCAAAAAGCAGTGTGAAGCCACCTGTGATCATCTTCATGATTACAACTGTCATAAACACTGAAAGATTTTATGAGATTTAGAGGAAAACACAGGGCATGCTATGAATATCCATGAATTCCCAGAGATGAATTCACAGAAATCTTACAAATGATGTTATCTCACTGGACACCAAAGTTGCCAATACCTGCCTTCCACCAAAACAGAATAGGTTTGCAATAGTGGTGAATATCTACAGTATGATATTCAGAATAGGTATAACAGAATAGGTTCATATTCCACAGTTTTTAAATCATTTTTAAAGGCAAATCATTGGTTTTGGACCACATACCTAATCATAAAAATGGCAGAGTTCACAAACACACTGTACTGAAACCAAATTACCCATCTGGGTTTGTCCAGTGTATGATCTAGCATATGAGCATAAACACTACTGCCACCACTAGCAATGTTAGCATTGCTAACCAATGCTTGTCAGGTTTATTTCTTGGGAAAGCATACTTGCTCATTTGGCAAACCTTTCTCCCAATGAATGATTACAGAATTCCGTCCCTTTGCTACTCATCATATCTTTACCATTCCATAGTTTTCACAGCTAAGAATTCAACTAAAACAGTTGTGGAAATTGAGATTATATTTTAGGAAAATCCTGAGAGATCAGGATTGGAAAAGTCAAAAAGAAGGCAAAGAAAAAAAGACAATATCAGGAATTAAAGAAGGAAAAAAAGGAAAAGAGAAAATGTGAGTGGAGAACCTAAAATAAAAAAGAGAAATTCAGAATCACTTTCTTACCAATGCAGAACCTTCAGGTATTGTTTCAGTCTTTCCCTATTGGCAATTGTTAATATGAAAAAACTTTATATCTCACATTGGACTACCCAAATATTGGAAATCCTATGAAACTCTACAACTGATATATATTCCCAAATCTGTTTTCATACACCCATTAGTGGCTGAAAGTGGTAAGAAGGTGACAGGCAACAGGGAGAAAGCAGGACTATTTAACTCGTTTTTCACATCTGTCTTTACACAAAGGGAAAAAGCAGACCAACCTATCAAAAATAGTGCCATAAAAAACAGAATAGAAACACAAGTTAAGACAGGCAAGAAAATGGTAAGTGAGCACCTGTCCAGCCTAGACGAGTTCAAATCACCAGGACCAGATGGATTACATCCCAAGATTCTCAAGGAACTGGCAGATGTGATCTCAGAACCACTGAACTATATTTTTCAAAGGTCCTGGAGCACTGGGGAACTACCAAAAGACTGGAAAAGAACTGATGTAGTTCCCATCTTCAAAAAGGGGAAAAAATGGATCCAAGAAATTACAGACCTATCAGCCTGATCTCAGTACCTGGGAAGATTCTGGAAAAGATAATCAACAATGAATCAGCGAATACCTACAGGCAAACCAAGTCATTACTAAAAGCCAACATGGGTTTGTCAAAAACAGATCATGCCAGACAAACCTTATTGCATTCTTTGACCAAGTGACAAAATCAGTGGACCAGAGGATTGCTGTGGATATAATTTACTTGGACTTCAGTAAGGCATTTGACAACGTAGATCACAACCTACTACTTGATAAGACAGAAAAATGCGGGTTAGACAGTATCACCACCAGATGGATCCTTAGCTGGCTGACTGGCCATACTCAGCATGTGGTCCTCAATGGAACCATATCTGTTCTGGGCCCAGTGCTCTTCAACATCTTCATTTGGATGACGGGATAGATGGGGAACTCGTCAAATTTGCAGACGATACCAAGCTGGCAGGAATAGCCAACACTCCAGAAGACAGGCTTAGGATACAGGAGGATCTTGACAGACTTGAACACTGGTGTGAAATGAAATTCAATACCAAAATCTGGGATTTTTAGAATTCCTCAACTATGTGCATTTTAGTTTAATATGATTGAATGCCACATTTATAGCAGCAGTACTTTTTTGTCTATAAAGAATGGAAGAAACAATCTTCATAGGAAGACTGACCAAATATTCATTCTGACTAGATTGCCAAAATAATACCAGTATTTAACTGATAAATATGAGGAATTCAAATTATTCAATTCTTTAACTTTTCAGTTCTCCATTGTACAAATGCAACAGTTAGCACAGCAATCTTTCCTTGTTGTTGTTGTTATAGAAAAATAATTAGAATGTTGCAGATGGTGCATTCTATATAATTTTTAAAACCATTTTATAATGCTTTGGTAAGACTGTACTTGAAATATTGCATCCAGTTTTGGTCACCATGATATATATAAAAAATGTTGAGACTCTAGAAAGAGTGAAGGGAAGAGCAACAAAAATGATTAGGGGATTGGAGAGCTAAAACATATGAAGAACACTTGCAGTGATTGGGTATATCTAGTTTAATGAAAAGAATGACTAGGGCTGATATGATAGCAATGTTTTAATATCCAAGGGTCTACCTCAGAGAAGGGGTGTGTGTCAATCTACTCTCCAAAGCACTTAAAGGCAAAACAAGAAGCAATGGATGGAAACTAATTAAGGAGAGAAGCAACTTAGAAGTAAGGAGAAATTTCCTGACAGTTAGAACAATTAATTAGTGGAACAACTTGCCTTCAGAAGTTGTAGAAGCCCCAGCACTTGAGGTTTTTAAGAAGAGATTGGACAACCATTTTCTGAAATGGTATAGGGTTTCATGCTTGAGCAGGGGATTATACTAGAAGACCTCCAAAGTTCTTTCCAACTCTGTTATTCTGTTAATATATTTTATATTTAGGATGATTTATATAATCTTGATACAATTATGAGTCACTCCTAGATAGCAGAACAGAATTTAGAGCATAGATCAATAAAGAGCAGAAATCAAAAGAGGATCATGATCAGCATATACAAAGGCTGGCATATCAAACAAAAAATCTGAGAAGTAAACCTTTAATTTAAGAATAACTCTGTGTTAAAAGAATAAATTTTAATGTAATTATGATTTGGATACTTAATTTAACATTACCAAAAAGAGGTGGAACTATAACAGCAGTATCCCCAATTCAACAAGAATCTCTAAAAGTTTATTTTATTTATTAATTAAATCCTGACCATTTTCATAATTTCATGAAAACTGTGCTCATAGCTGCTGAGAAGTCAAAAGAATCACACAACTCATATTTCTTTTTAATATAGGCCTTCCTGCATAATGACCAAGGCAGTTTTGAATATTTCTTCTTTTTATATTCAGAATATGTCATGATGAAGTGGATTATGGAGCAATGACCATTCAGAAAGCCATTCAACTCCTGTGTTCCTCAGATGAGAAGAATCAGGCCATGGGTGCTTACTACCTCCAGCACACCTGTTTTCAAGATGAATCTGCCAAGCAAGAGGTAAATATGTTATTTGAGCTTTGTGGTGGAAGCTTAAAATTGCAGAATTAAGTCAGAACCCTTTTTTCTATAGCTCTCAAGGAAGATCAGATTAGGAAATGAAAACATATCCATTCAACACTAAATAAGTTACTAAAACATATTGCATGGATAAATAAACTTGCTTTTACACCCATATTTACTTAATATTCATAACATGATATTTGTCCACAAATAATTTATATTTGAATAGTTAAACTTACAGCTATTAGAAGTATTCCTGATTGGAATATACTTAAATACTGTTATTTGAATGAGGACAAAAGATTTATATAAGATTTACTATATTCAGTTAACTATTCTAAAGATATGATTATTTTTAGTATATTCATTATCAATTCAAGAACTGTATCCAAGGAAACAATTTGAGTTTGGAATATTTAGCCATTGCTTCCTAAGTAGCAAACAAGGCACCACTGAAACTCCAACTGTACTCATTTTCCTTTAGAATAATTAAGTTAATAGCCTCCTGTACTGAAACATTGTCTAATGGTCAATAAGAATATAATTAAGCTCTCAGAAATAAAAATAAATACTGCTGGTTGGAATATGAGTCAGAAAGTTCATCAAAATGTTTAGTAATCATATATACTATGTTATAAATATAAACATTATTTACAAATTAATCTAAACTTGCCGATTTAGATTAACAGGGCTAGTAATTCCAGCATTATTTAGAAAATGGATTTGTTTTGGAATATATAAATATTTAGTAAAATCTATCTGTTATGGCAGCTATCTCCTAGACAATAAAATGGGGTTGTTTACAGGTAAGCGCAGTGAATGCTCTGAATTCTGGAGCCACGTTGAAAAAGAAAACGCCATTGTTACCCCATGTCTCTTACACAATAAATAGTTCAGTGAAGTCTGACATACTTTAACATTCTGGGCCTATTCGATGACACCAATTATGTTTGATGGTGAACATAATACTTTTCAGGCTAGCTGTGATATATTTGAAATTACAGTAAAACCAAAGTTGCTGTTCATTGTGAGTCCATTTTCAAGTTTGCAAACACTCCTTTCTCACCATGATTCCTTGGCTTTAGGCTTTTGAAGAGATGTTTTTTCTACTTCTTTTCAGATATTTAAATAAATTTATTCTGTATATGACCAGACAAATACAATGGGAAGTAAAAACAATATGGAGTTCCCTTTTGCATGGAGTGAGAATTAAGGAATGTTGTCGCTATAGGACCAGCAATTAGACAGAAAAAAAAAGTTACACTGTTTTGTCACTGAACCTCAGAAAGGTCTTGTCTTTAGTATGAATTAAACTAGACTTCCTTTTAGTTTTAAACTCTTGATAATTTTAGTTGGTAGAAAAGAGATGGGAATTATAGTTTGGTCTGCAAAGCCCGGCACCATCATCATATCTAATTTATTTCCTGGGCAGAATCCTTTAAAAGACCTGGCTGCTTTGAGCTAAAAGAATAGGAAGCATGCAAAGACACAGATTAAAGTTCAAAAATCAGAGCCCTTAGCAATAAAATATTCTGAGAGGGAAGATGAATTAATGCTGGAGATGGGTACCTACTTTCCAAATGTCTCCCTATCCCACCAAAGAAAGGCATAAAATCAGTGGTGGGATTCAGCCAGTTCGCACCACTTTGCAGAACCAGAATCAGTGGCTATTATTCATATATGAATACATTCCTTTCCTGAATACATTGATTCCATACGTGAGTCACTTCAGGATAAGCACGGCTCAGCATCAGTCCTTATAATTGGCAGAACGAAATACCAATTTTTTTCAAGTCAGTGTCACAGGTCTGGGTCACATAATTCATAACACCATTCTCGTACTGAGAATGGACTGATATTAGAGCCATTGCTTAAAATGTATAAATCCTGTATTTATTAATCTACTGAAATGATTTATATTTATCTTCAGTTTGAAAACTGAATAATGGGAAGACCAAGTAATGACTCGTTTTTGGGGAGATATCATTTTTAATTCCTGGTTGTTTATCAGTCAGAAATATTCTTTTTCATTTAGTTCAACATAAGAAAAACATTGGGGTCTCAAGAAACTCTCATGGAGTTCTGAAGACCTGAAAAGGAGAAAGCAGCTGTTACCTCCACCTCCCTCGTATATGTGCCAGGGGTGGATTATATATGCATACCTTCTGCAGTAGAGCCTCCTTAAACAGGGCACAAATTTCATCTTACTATTAACTTTTAATACCAATGTTTAAAAGAACAGCAGAGCTTTATGAGCAGTTTTGACCCATGTGCATTTCAATTACTCCTTTTTTAGGTTTACCGACTTGGAGGCATTGCCAAGTTGATTGAACTTCTGCGCAGTTCAGATGAAAACGTGCAGCAGGCTTCAGCTGGGGCCCTTCGAAACTTAGTCTTCAGAAACCCAGCTAACAAATTAGAAACCCGCAGGCAGAATGGAATTCGAGAGTGTGTGAATCTCCTGAGGAGGACTGGGAACACCGAAATACAGAAGCAGTTGACAGGTACTCTTTTGTTTTACAGCAATGTGAAAGAACAATGGCAATGAGTCACACTATGCAACTAAAAAGATACTTTGGACACCTAAAGATGCACCTCTTCAAGAAATGGAAGCTAGTGATTAGGATGGTTGACAGATTAAGTTATTTGGAAATGCCTGAACATAGTCCTTTAATTTAGTCAAGGAATTCACTGTGCTTCCATTAATTTGTATTAATTTTTTTTAATATGGCGTTTTTTCCCCGCGAATTGGGGAATTTTGCAAATCAATCTTACCACTTAATAGGAAAAGAATTTGTTCCATATTTCATTAACATTCCTGCATTAAGATAAGTCCAAATGTGATCAGGAAATAGACTTCTGGTATTATCCTTCTGTGATGATTTAATTGGGATACCTGCTTGCCTTTAGTGAATATTTAGAGACAGACTTTCACATCAATCTGTCTTGCCTGTCTATATGGAAATGAGTCACATTGCAAACTCCAGCAACAAACCTCTTTCACTTAATTTTCAGGATTGCTCTGGAACCTGTCCTCCACTGATGAACTGAAAGAAGATTTGATACACGATGCTCTTCCAGTTCTGACTGATTGTGTTATTGTACCTTTTTCTGGGTGGTGTGATGGTATTAGCAATAGTAGATCAAGAGAAACTATTGACCCAGAGGTTTTCTTCAATGCCACTGGCTGTTTAAGGTACATCATTGGACATAATATTAATATTTTAATCATATCATTAAAAATCACTGAGTGATTTTAAAGTTATCCTGGAATTATCCTTCAAAAGAGCTATATGTTGTTATGTTTTTTTTCAAATATTTACAAAGACAGTGATATCAATAATATAAAAGTAAATAATCAAGCTTAAAAAAGATGGAAGAACTCTGCATCCTTTTGTATAAAGCTGGGACTCTGTTGTTTAAAAAGGTCCTTGCTGTTCAAGCCTTACCTTCAGTGGAGTTGGTGATATGAAGAATGGTTTCTGGGACCTTACAGAATTGGATCTTGTATGCTAGCAGACTGGTATGAAGGAGGCATTTCTTTCAGTGTGGGTTTCCAAGCCATTTAGGTCTTTAAAGAAAAGCAGCAGTACCTTGAAATGGCTTGAAAGGAAATAGTCAATAAGCTTTTTTTAAAAAACTGGTCAAGGAAAGAATGCCGATCTAAACTCTTCAATTGCTGTAGTCAAAGCTTCTGAATTAGATAATGCAATCATCCATGTAAATGCATATATTGGGATGTTGCTGTTGTTAATTAAATGACAAGCAGGTGCCAGATCTATGTTGTGTTACAGACAAATGTCCAACTTTATTGTCCTTCCTGCTTATTTTTTTGATAATTTAACAATAGCCACTGGCTAATGAATTTTCAGAAAAAGTCCTTTTGTATTGACTTTCCTATCTGAAATACCTTAAATCCTGGCAGTCACTCCAATTTACATTATACAAAGCAATTTGCGGGCAGGGAAGTCCACAAATTTCACAAGTCCATGCTTGTGAAAATCAAACAGACCTTGGCATGTAGATATTAGTTCTGACTTGTAGCTTTCACTACCAATCCCCTAGCTGCCAGCAACTAGGAACTATTGGATAGGTAGATGAAACATATTTGCAATTAGAAAATTTAATCAACTGAAGCACTGCCTTAGGACAGGGATAGGCAGTAGATAGATCAGAAGCTACTGGTACAATTTTGGGTGATCTGCAAAAGATTAAGAAGGATGTTTGACTCTTAATTGAATAACAGTAGCAAGTATTGAATATCTTTCCTCCTTAAACTAAACTGCTGAAAACAATGTTTGGGGAAAACCAGGGCTCTTACAAAAGTCAGCTTTCTTCCATATTTTGTGGTTTGGTTTCAATGTAACAATTATACAATTTGTTCATATCAAGTAATTTATTATAAAGAACTCCAACATATCACATCCATATCCATTGAAGATATGGTGTGACATACTCTGTCTTCAGTTATTTTATTGTATCTTCTCTTTTGCTCCTCCCTGGCACATTTTCTCTATAACAGTTAGGACCAGATGTGCAGCTGATTTCTACACCTGCATGCTGCTGCTACTCCTTTCTAAAACTTAACCATCAGCATATTTATTAAGATGTACCATAATTCTGTCTAAATAGTTGTCTATTTTATCCAAATATCTAATCAAACAATTTATTACCATTTGCCCGCAGAGATTTTCATTGAGGTTATTTATTCTATTATGAAACATATACTTAACTGTAAAGTCGCTGAATAGAAGGGGATGAATTTGAGTGTTTGTTCTGTGCCCGCAATTGCCCAATACTGGTGGTGTGGTTTCCAGCTATCATGGATTGGAAAACAGAAAAATATAAACTTACTTAACTCCATTTAAAACAAAATGCAAACCTTCAGTCTGGAACTACAGAAATCCTGGGGAGAAAATCTTAGTGAAACCTACTCCTGCCAACTTGTCTGATGAAGTATAAACCGTTTTTCATAATTCCTCCATGAATTCTAGTTGTTCCTTCCCTGGCCATGATAAACTTGCTCACTTATGATCTATACCATCTGATACTTCCCAGATGTGTTGGATTTCTGTTTCCATGATTTCATATAAGCTTTCGATGCTGGCTGAGGATAATAGAGACTGTAGTGCAACACACCTGGAAAGTTACAGGTCAGGGAAGGTTAGTATATGGAAAAGAAACAGCTCTTTGGTACTTTTTAGTAGAGATTTTCCTAGCTCTACTCACAACAGCCCTTTGCACATAAAGTCATGTCCTAGGTGAGTGATCTATAGCCTTTCTCTCTTTTTTACTACACTGGCTTTGCAAATTAGTATGCATGTTTCAGGTCAAACTGCTAATCAATCAGATTATAATACAAAGTTCATATCCACAAGCTCAGATGAAGCCCTTTGATCTAGTATTTACTGCTTACGCATAAAATATTAGGAATCATTAAAACTGCAAGAACGAAATGAAGCTTACCTATTCAAAGTGCATCTAGAATGAGAAAAAAGACCCACACAAACAGGAAACTCAGTTTTGATGGTGGTTCTATGGGAGAAATCTTCAGGCAATGCTGGACTGCTTTTCAGGCTAATTGCCCGTGTTCTCAGAGGCTGGCTGATATGAGATGGGATTGTTTTTAGATTATTTTCAATACAATTGACTTTTAATCAGCTTACATTCTCAAAGTACCTCTAAAATTCACTATCTAAATCTTCTTCCTCTTAAGAAAGGATTTTCTAAGATGTTTAATGGTTTTCTCTATGCTGTATATAAACTTAACTGAACAAATGTTTCTTTCTTTTTCTTTATGAAATGAACCTTGTAGGAACTTGAGTTCTGCAGATGCTGGACGTCAAACCATGAGAAACTATCCAGGATTGATTGATTCTGTGATGACTTATACCCAGAATTGTGTAGCAGCTAACCAGCCAGATGATAAGGCAAAAAGATCTTTCTGTATACTTTATGAATTGATACAACTCTTGGTTCCATGAAAAATTAGCCTTGGACTGAATGCCAATGAATATATAAATATGGACTAGCTTTTTTTTCACACTTCCTCACCATATCTTTTAGCGTCTTTTCCTGTAAAAACTACATGACAATATTGTGAGCTATAATGCTCATGTTCACAATGTAAAGGGAAAATTACTTTGGATCTAGTCAAGATGTCTTGTAGCTCTAGCAAGATCCTTGCTCAATTTCAAATGCCGTTTATTTCCAAATTTCTTGTAAGATGGTAGCTGCATCCTTGAAAGCATAAAATCATGTTATGTGATAATGTAGGTAGGAAGAAAGAAATGTTCATTATTAGCAAATTCCAAATTTTATATATTGTACATTTAGAATACAAGCTGTTCTCAACCTAGGACTAATCACTTATTGACAGTTCAAAGTTGGTGATGGATCCCCCAAATGGTATTTATGAGCCATTCCATAGTTCTGATAGCTGCCCCCATTGTCACATGATTGCATTTTGGGTAGTCAGCAACCATTTGCAGAGTTCTGCGGCCATGTAATAGCAATTTACAATGTTTTTGCCAGAAATTGGCATTTATTTCCAGTTTCTGGAAAAAACTGCCCATAGCAAACAATGGGTTGGCTTAATTATCACAGTGTTGCTTAATGGTTGTGGTGCTTGCTTTGTGACCACAGTGTTCTCTTAACCACCACTGGGGAAAAAAGGTTATAAAATTGGGTTGGTCACAAGATAACCCATTTTACCACCATAACTGCCAGGCCTAATTATGGTCATAAGTCAAGGACTACCTGTACCATTAGGTTTTGCTCTAAAAACACATTCAGTACTATAGTCTCATCAATTTTTAAGCTCGATTGTTTTTTTTACTTATTCGTTGATTTATTATTTCCCAAACCTAATTTCTTCAAAATCTTAGAATCACTTTGCTTCCATTACCTTCCCATTTCTATCATCATCATCATCATAATAATAATAATGTTAGAATGTAATCTAGTTCAACCCCCTGCTCAGGCAGGAAACCCTATACCATTTCAGACAAATGGCTGTCCAGTCTCTTCTTAAAAACTTCCAGTGTTGGAGCATCCACCGCTTCTGGAGGCAGGTTCTTAAACTGGTTAATTGTCCTAACTGTCAGGAAATTTCTCCTTAGTTCTAGGTTGCTTCTCTCTTTGGATAATTTCCATCTGTTGCTTCTTGTCCTGCTTTCAGGTGCTTTGGAGAATAGCCTGATTCCCTCTTCTTTGTGGCAACCCCTGAGATATTAGAACACTGCTATCATGTCACCCCTTATCCTTCTCTTCATTAAACTAGACATACCCAAATCTAGCAACCATTCCTTATATGTTTTAGCCTCCACTCCCCTAATCATCTACGGTGCTCTTCTCTGTACTCTTTCTAGAGTCTCAACATCTTTTTTACATCTTGGTGACCAAAACTGGATGCAGTATTCCAAGTGTGGCCTTACCAAGGCATTGTAAAGTGATATTAACACTTCACATGATCTTGATTCTATCCCTCTGTTAATGCAGACTAGCACTGCCTTGGCTTTTTTGGCAGCTGCAGCACACTGCCGGCTCATATTTAAGTGATTGTCCATTAGGATTCCAAGATCCCTCTCACAGTTACTACTATTGAGCAAGGTACCACCTATACTATTCCTGTGCATTATGTGAACAATTTAGACAACTGTTACAAATTCCTTTTAAGCATTTCAAGAACCACATGGTTTCTATAACATTTTTCTCATCTTCTTTCTAGAGGAATCTTTATGACAAGCAATTCATTGGGAGATCAGTTGTAAGGATAATTTAAATTTAAATCTGAGGAAAAAGTTCAATCTTTAAACCAAGATAACTCATTAATATGCCCCTCTGTGTATCGCCAAAATAACAATGGCAAATGTATCGGCATAATAAATAATTAATTATTTTGATTCTTGTAGTCTGTGGAGAACTGTATCTGTATCCTTCATAATTTGTCCTACCGCCTGGATGCTGAAGTGCCAAATAAATACACCCATCTTAACCACTTGGCCAGAAACACTCACATGAACAGAAGCTTGACAGGCTGCTTCAACAACAGAGGAAAGCTAGAGGTAAGATGTGAGGCATTTACAAATTGCAGAAGATGTCATTCAGATGAAGGCACCTTCCTTTGAAATAAAGATAGGCATCCTACATCCTTTCTTTAGAATGGGAAAACTACCTTTCATTACAGTTGCAAGTATCAAAGCAATTATTCAAGTCTCAAATCTTTGTTTTCCCTTCAATATATATATTTTTTAAAAAATAAATTGTTGAAGCCTAATGAGGCTCCAAAATTTCATGCAACTTTGGCATTCCTTCGTGAAATTTCACTACAGATGTCCTCAAACAAGTAATTGGAACTGATGAAATGTTGATTATCTCAACAAAATCCTATCAATTTCTGGGGCAAGATTGTCATGAATTTTGGCAATCATCAGAATAACTGAATGATTTATTTTTAAATTTGAACCTGAACCCCTGAACAAATTCATTTCTGATGATTGTAAAAGAGTATAAATGCATCTTACAAAAACAGATATCTCTCAGACAATATCTTTACATGTCTTTAGTATTTTATTCAAGTGTGCCAATTGTATAAACTTTTGTAATCTTGTATTATGAGCACACAAATATATTGAGACACACTTTGTACCCTATTTAATTAGCAAGGTAAAATGATAAGTTAGGGTGATAAAATGTGGGCCTTTTGCACAATGTTTTAGATTTTCCTTCTGATTTATCCTTAGTATGATGAATATAATCTGCCACTTCCTGAAGAGGACTATAAACCTAAAGGTTCCACCTGGCTGTATCATTCTGATGCCATCCGCACCTACCTGTCTTTAATGGAAAAAAGTAGAAAAGATGCTACCCTGGAGGCATGTGCTGGAGCTCTCCAAAATCTAACTGCAAGCAGAGGAATGGTAACTATTACGCTTTTTGCTTACATGTTTGGTTGGATTTTAGGGGAAAAACTCTATTTCCTTCTTGTGAAGAAAATAAAACTGTGGGGAAAATGAAATTGTGAGTCCTTAGTGCTCTCTGAGCTTGGGTGTTTGTTTCCAGACATTTGGTTACCCTTTATTAATATTCATTAGCTCTTGCACTGATGATGTTACCTAGTCAGGTAATGAAATATCTGCAAGCAAACATCCAACCTAAGAGAGCATCAGGGTCTCTTAGTTCTACCTTGAGTTACGAATATCCTCTTCTATTGAAAAATACAACCATTTAGAGAATAATCAAAATCCATTGAAATCTGAAGGATGTACCCATTTTTTTCTGTTTAGTCAATCTGCCAATAAAAATTAACATTGCTAATACCGATCAGACTTCTTCCATCAGAGAAAACATTTTGTATTAGCAAAATATTAATTAGGTAGATAATTGTTTTAAAAATTTTCAATGTAATAAAATATACCAAACAAACAAGAGCAAAGATAGAAAATAAAAAATACAAATGCCTTCTGGTTTTCTTTCTAATGGGTAATTATCATCTTACTTCCCCACCCCCCAACTTCTTATTTTTAATTCCCAAATCCCAAAATTATAAAGCCAGTGTTTTCTTCCTTCAACAAAAATTCCATTTAAGGGTTCCAGTCTTTTAAAAAAGACTGTATTTTTTCTGATAGTTTTTTTTTTCAGACCAAAGTGGTCAACTTCGCCTTTTCTTCAAGTTCAATTAATTTTGTGATATAGTCTTCCAACTTGTAATATGTTACTTGGACTTAATGGATTTTTACTTGCTTCAATGTATGGGATGCATTATTGGCAAAAACTTAAAAAGAATAAGTACTCCAAGAAAGTAAAATAAGGAAATAATGACCTATATAGAAATTAGAAGCTTTAATGCTACATAGTAATTTCTAAATTCTAATCCTTAAATTTTAAATTAATTCTACACCAAAATATGCATCCAAGTTCTCAATTGGGACCAGAATTTCTGTCACTAAGTAATGCAATTGTAAGCTTAGCAATGACAATCTCTACAATCCTTGGTGCCATTGTTAAGTGAGGATCTTGAGTCATTAAGCAAGCACCTTGGATGGCTACTGTTGCTCTGTGGAGGGAAGGTGTATGAGCATTCATAAATGGCTGATGAGTTAGAGTATGGAGGGGTTGGGGGATGGGGGATTGGGGAGAGTCTTACCTGAGTAACTTGTGACTTTCCCTGATAGTTTCCCCATTTACTTTGCTTGTGAGAAGCATCATAACTTTAAAAGTCATTGAGCAAGTGATCATTAACTGTGCAATACCTGTAGTCTTACCCACATTAAACCCAACTGTGGGTTGAGGGAAGGAACTGAAAAAGATGTCACATGCTCTTTGTGTGGGCCTTTTCTATTCTCCCTGTTTGGTGGCATCATGTGTGAATTTGTGGCTCATATGTGTTTACTGAAAAATCATTCCTCGTAAGATCTGTTTGCAGAGAAAACTGTGGAGAACTATTTGAGGGCACTTGCCACAGCACAAAAAAGAGGATGTGCCCAGGGTGTGTGTTTCAGGCTTTCACTCTTGGAACTCCAGGACTGAGCGAAGCCAAATTCTTAAGGATTTATGTCTTAATTGTTTCTTAAGAAGGATTCCCTTTTGTATGTCATATCTAAGTTTAGGCTTTGCCATTTACAGTTTGTTATCAAAGAATAACTTTGTTTGTTCTGTGATAACAAACTGTAAATGGCAAAGCCCAAATTTACATGGTTGTGAGTGATATGCAGAAACAGACCTTGGCCAGCTTTGCTTTTCCTGGAAAGCTCGCATGATGAAACAGCAAAAATGAAAAGGCGAATGAGTTGTGTTTTTTTTAAATAGGATCTTCTAGCAATAAGGAATCCTGAATGTTCCATTGTTTTTGTTCTAATTTGGCAGTTCAGAAATTGTTTCAGATGTAATTTTGTTTTGTCCTCTAGATGTCAAATGCAATGAGCCAACTAATCGCCTTAAAGGAGAAAGGGCTGCCCCGCATAGCACGGCTCTTGCAATCCAGTAATGCTGAAGTTGTCCGATCTGGAACATCTTTACTGAGCAACATGTCCCGACATTCTATTCTCCACAAAACCATGGGTAGGTGTTATTTTTTACTCCATGGGGCTCTCTGATATATCATTCCTACCATCATTCTTTTCCACAATGAAAAATGCAAAAATCCTGATGTCACAGGTAATTAAGACATTGAAATTTTATAAATATATCTTTTTGTGCAGCCTTTTATTTTAAAAATCATCAACTCTAATTAAGCTGATATCACATTTCCTGTTTTATAATAATGCTTTAATAGTTGAAATTTTCCTCAACCTGATAACTTTCCTCAATCTGTAGTCCTGTTCTTGAGCTACATCTCCAGGATTTCCTCAAGCACACTGGCTAGGAATTTTGGATGCTGCAACTTCGACACAAATGGAGCAACATGAAAGGACAAACTTTTCTAGTAGTTTCCTTGTTGTCCATATTAGCAGCACTAAGTTGCTCTATCATACATTCATTAGTATTATGGGATTCAAGATTAAATGAGTTGTGAAACAAAAACACAAAGAAAGGAAGAGTGACTGACGGGTACTTCTGGGCTGTGCTACTTTTCACATGAAGTGATGTTCATTTTTATGGGCCAAATGTATTTTATCAGGAAGTCTACACAACCTTCATCACCATCTCATGAGGATTTGCTGCAGTCCTTTTTACATTATAACTTTACATTCAGAAAAACTAGATAACAGCAACAACAACAATAATAACAACAATAAAGTTGGAAGGGACATAGGAGATAATCTAGTCCAACCCCCTGCTCAGGTAGGAATCCCTATACTATTTCAGACAAATGGCTGTCCAGTCTCTTCTTAAAAACTTCCAGTGTTGGAGCATTCACTGCTTCTGGAGGCAGGTTCTTCCACTGGTTAATTGTTCTAACTGTCAGGAAATTTCTCCTTAGTTCTAGGTTGCTTTTCTCTTTGGTTAGTTTCCATCCGTTGCTTCTTGTCCTGCCTTCAGGTGCTTTGGAGAATAGCTTGACTCCCTTTTCTTTTTGGCAATCCCTGAGATATTGGAACACTGCTATATGTCACCTCTTGTCCTTCTCTTCATTAAACTAGACATACCCAATTCCAGCAACCGTTCCTTATATGCTTTAGCCTCCAGTCCCTAATCATGTAGGTTGCTCTTCTCTGTAATCTTTCTACAGTCTCAACATCTTTTTTTACATCGTGATGACCAAAACTGGATGCAGTATTCCAAGTGTGGCCTTACCAAGGCATTGTAAAGTGGTATCAACACTTCACATGATCTTGATTCTATCCCTCTGTTAAAGCAGCTTAGCACTGTGTTGGCTTTTTTGACAACTGAAGCACACTGCCGGCTCATATTTAAGTGATTGTCCACTAGGACTCCGAGATCCCTCTCACAGTTGCTACTATTGAACAAGGTACCCCTACCTGTGCATTTTTTTTCTTGCCTAAATGTAGAACCTTACTTTTTTCACCATTGAATTTCATTTTGTTAGATAGCGCCCAATGTTCAAGTCTGTCAAGATCCTCCTATATCTTAAGCCTATCTTACGGAGTGTTGGTTATTCCTGCCAGCTTGGTGTCATCTGCAAATTTGATGAGCTCCCCCTCTATCCCCTCATCTCAAATAATTGATGAAGATGTTGAAGAGCACTGGGCCCAGAACAGAGCCCTGGGGCACCCCACTACACACTTCCCTTCATGTAGATGCAGTTCCATTGAGGACTACATGCTGAGTATGGCCAGTCAGCCAGCTATGAATCCATCTGGTGGTGATGCTGTCTAACCCACATTTTTCTATCTTATTAAGTAGTAGGTTGTGGTATACTTTATCAAATACCTTACTGAAGTCCAAGTAAATTATATCCATAACATTCCTCTGGTCCACTAATTTTGTCACCTGGTCAAAAAATATCTGAGATTAGTTTATATTTCTCCTAATCTTAGCCTGAGTAGCTCTTTTGAGAGAGTTTTATTCCATTCTTTATTTAAAGGTGGCCTCTTTCTGCCTCTTTAGCTCACCAGGTGCTTCCAGATGTGACTCGCCTTCTAGCCCTCCAGGCTCCAGGATCTAGCAACTATGGAGACATCATGACATCAGCTTGCTATGCCCTGAGGAACTTAATCATGTACAACCCACAGATGGCCAAGCCCTACTTGACTGGCAGTTTGATAAATAATGTAGTAGGCCTGTGCCGAAATGGGTGAGTAATAATGTGCAACTGGGGGCATATGACAGTGATCCTATGCAATGTTGACATGTACTTAGAGGTATTTTACATTTATTGTATGATTTTTTTCTACATAACATATCCCATTTTAAGGCCATACCATATCAATAAATATTGGATATTCTACATACTACATGACTGCTTGAATAAACTTATCTGTACCATCTTCCCACGATACTCCTTTAGGATTGAACAATGAGGTTGACTATAGCTAGTCCTCAACTTACAACCACAATATGGACCAGAAAATTTATCAATGGTGCATTGGTTAAGTGAGGCATCACATAACTGAACCCATGACCTATTTTGCTGTGGTTGTCACAGTAAATCATCAGGATCATTAAATGAAATAATAAAATTTTACAATCTTCCCTGCCAGCTTTCCTTTGACTTTGCTTGTCAGAAGCTAGGTGGGAAGGTTGAAAATGGCCATCGTGCAACTCCAGGATGCTGCAACAGTTGCAAATGAATGAGAGTTGCCAAACACCTGAATAACAATTACATGGTGGCAAGGACACCGCAATGGTCATAAGTTTGAGATCTGATCAAAAATCACTTTTTGCAATGCCATTGTAATTTCAAACAATTGTTAAATGAATGGTTGTAAGTGGAGGACTACCTGTATGATCAAGAAAATTGATATTCTCAAAAACTGCATGAAATGAAGCACTTGCCTCCCATAATCCAAGCTTCATTGACAGAAGATGAATCTACCAACATTGTAGAAATATCCCCTTCTCATACCTACTCCATTCAGGTCTTTGTGCAGGGGCATTCACATCTGCCAGTTAATTACACATACCTCAATGCTCTTGAAAACATTAAATCCTTAAAATGCATCATATCTTTTGAGAGGGAGGGAGGGAGGGAGGGAGGGAGAGAGAGAGAGAGAGAGAGAGAGAAGAGAGAGGGAGGGAGGTGTTTGTGGGTGTGTATTATAGCTCTGCTTTTTTTATTACAGATCTTATCCCAAAGCAGCTGAAGCAGCTCGAATGCTGCTATCTGATATTTGGTCAAATAGGGAACTCCAATCTGTACTAAAACAGGTAAAATATCAAGGGTGGTATCTTTTTCCACTTCTTATAAAACAATCCGGCATATCACACACTTCAGTGTGAGATTACCATATACGCACTGTGCAAAATAGCAAAAGATAAATTCTAAGACTTTTGGAAAGCAGGGGAACTGGGATGTTTAAAGTTCAGAATTACGATTTTTCATTTAAGATATCAAGATTTAATGTAGCTTCAAAATTCACCATTTATATGTACAATATGTTGGATGGTAGTAAGTGCAACATATTTTCTAGAGAGCTCAGAGTTTTGTCTGGAGATGTAATGGGAGGGAGGGAACAGAGAAAGAAAGGTAAGTATGTAATAAGTTTCATGTACAGTTCCATGAACAAACAACTGCATCAGAAACACACATGTAGCCTTTTTTTCATGGGAAAAGATAAAATAAGCAAATTTAAAAAAACTACAGATACAAAAGTATAATAGAGTAAATTAAAGAAATAATTGCAGAAGTACAGTTCTTTAGTGTATTTTGAAATTTCACAAACTGCTTGAATATTTATATATGATCAGTAAAATATACTGATGGTAAAATATACTGATTGGTTCAATCTTATGTTTTCTTTGAATGTAACAAATGACTTGAAAAAGTATTTAACTTATTTAAATTATGTTAAAGAAAAAAATTCTTCTTCTCTTGATCTTCTCTGTTCTTTGCCTTCCTTCCATGACTCATTCTGCAGCAAGGATATGACAAGAACATGATGGGATCCTTAACAGGAAGCACTTTAAGGACTCTGTCTTCCAGATTCTAGGAGACTTTGCCTGTTTGGATTGCAGGTAAATGATTGTATCTGCTTTTTTTTTCAAAGTTAGGAAAAAAGTCACATTTCCTACAGTTCAAACCATAATTAGAGCTATAAAAGAACAATTTCATGCACTGAATGTGGGGCTGCACTTTCTTTGAAAAGGAGCTGATTTTAAATTTGGTCACTACAATACTGGTGCAGAGGGCATGGACTATGTACACCAGAGTTGTGGAAACCACACCCTTAACAAACCATCGGTTTGCTTAACAACTATTGTGTTCACTTTACAACACCAAGATCGCTTTATGACTGTCACAAAAAAGGAATAAAACCAGGTCAACCTTGTCTATGACTTGATGTACAATGGTCACAAGTTACAGCCATGATGGGAAGGCTCTATTATGGCCATAACTCGAGAACTACCTGTACTTAACAGCATTATTTTATAACTCCCAGAGTTCTTATAGTGAGTAGGCCCAAACTGGGAGAGATTTAAAGGGCAAAGTAAATACTTTAAGCCTTCCAATTGCTTAAGGCACCCATATAATCCCTAAAAAATTCTCAAATTGCTTCCCCAAATCTTCCCTGACAACTTGCAAATCTAATTAACATATTTTCCCCGTCAACCCCAAAATGATTTTCTTCTGGAGTAATTTAATGGCTATCTGATCCAATACACTCCTATCTCTGTTACTGCTTTTCTAGGCAATTTTCTTGCTATTCAGGTCTTAAGAATGGGTGGGGATGCAGGACAAGAGGTCTCTTGCAGGAAAGTGGCACTTTCTTTCTGAAGCCTCCAAAGGACATTTTTTCTCTCTTGTTTGATTAATTTACACATTACTTCTTTTGCAAACCTTTTAATAAGACATAGGCTATAATATTGCATTATTGTTTATTAATACTAATGTAGCATCTTTCAGAAAAATTGTGTCATTCCTTTACATACATTTTCAATTTAAAGCCTAATATATAAGCACAATATCTAGCAATAGCACTTAGACTTATATACCACTTCACAGTGCTTTACAGCCCTCTCTAAGCAGTTTACAGAGTCAGCATATTTGCCCCCTACAATCTAGATCCTTATTTTACCAACCTCGGAAGGATGGAGGGCTGAATCAACCTTGAGTCAGTGGGAATCGAACTGCCAAACTGCTGGCAGTTGGCAATCAGCAGAATTAGCTTGCACTACTGCATTCTAACCACTGCGCCACCATGGATCTTGTACAAAATGTACAAGAGAAACAAAAGGTGCATAAATGCATGACTTCAGATTTTCTCAGACTATAAGGAACAATCAGAAATGGATTGAGGCTTCTTAGCAGACAAAAACTACCCCAGTTTCTATTGGCAGGGTTCTCATAACTGCCAACATCTAACTACAAAACATATCACAAGAAGCAGCTCTATACAAAACTCAGTTTCAAACAGGAGATGTTTGAGATAACAGGACATAACAAAATGCCATTATCAGTATATTGTATTGAAGAAAGAAAAAAATCTGTGAAGCAGTTCCTACATGGAATATTGAAGAAAATTGTTAGTAGCACATCTTAACAAGCTAGGGCTTTATCTGCACAGAAAACATAAATGAATTGATTATATAGAAAATCGGTATTGAATACAAACCTATTCTTGATGGGATGGAAGTTGTGATGAGAAGCTGATTGGAAGTGCGAAAGGAGAATAATTAGATAATTGGCTGTAGATAATTTGGCAAATATTCTGAGCAGTAGCCAAAATACAGTAATTAATGAGCAGCTTGGTTCTAGTGCAAGGGTGGTAGCTGCCAGATAAGGCCCCCAACTGGATAAATTCCAGTCGCCATTTTAGCCAGTAGTACCCCCAAAATTATACAGAATGAAATTTCCTGCATTGGAAAATGAAGCAGAATATGTGATTTAAGCCTTCAGTAATCATCCTCTCTATTAAAATGCTTAAATAATTTCCCATCCACCCCAACATCAAAAGAAGGAAAAAATAGCCAAAATCCGACCCAATCAACCTGTCATCTATTGCCCACTATAGCCCATGATGGGCAAAAGAATGAGAAAAATAGCATTCTTAGTTGCAAAAGATAAGCAGCGTTTATTTACAGCCCCAATGTCTAAGATAAGAGCTAAAAGATAGAAGGAAATTGTTTCATTGATCTTTACCTGTTGCTCACCTCCCAGGTGTTCTAGAATGCATTAAAAGGTAGGAGATAATAGATCTCAACCAATCAGTATGGAAGTGGGAGGAGCTATGAAATGATTACATTTGAAAAGATTTTCCTTCTTTTTTTTTCAGAGCATGTCACTGGTTCCTGTCTGGAGTCTTCAATCCTCATGGAATTAGTTAGGATGTTAAAAGACTTACAGTATTTGGAAAGTTCAACTAAGTTGTAAAATTAGGGATGAAAATTGTATTGTCTGATATAAGTATCTTAAAATGTTTTAATGGATATTTTAAATATATTTTTCTCTTTTGTTAAACTGGGAGGCTGGTTGTTAATGTTATATAAAAGCCAACTTACCAAAAATTGGGATTTATAGTTTTGAATGACATACATAACAACTTAGGCATCTACTTCCCTAACCAATATCAAGTCAATATATTAGGGAATGCTAAGGAAATAATGCCTAACTGCAACTTAATTTGTTAAAAAAGCATGATTTTTTTTCTATGTGTGTACATTTTTAGCTATCATTTTGGTAGACAGGCTACTCCTAATTTTGGATCTCTAGATATTGTTGGTTAACCATTCTCATCATCCAAGATCAATAAAGATGCTTTGAATGATGGAGGGCCCTTGGGGAAAAAATTGGCAAAGAGAAAAACATAGTTTTATTTGATTATTGTCAAATAAAACATTCATGTTCTCTCCCTCTTCTTCCGTCCCCTCCCTCCCTTCTCCCCTCCCCCCCTCTCTTCTTCCCTCCTTCCTCTTTCCAAAATATGCTATTTGGGAATATTTTCCATAGAGTTCAGTGGGGTTTACTGCAATAGAAATGCCTACAGAATGGCACCCTAAGGCCATTTTTCTACAGCCATAGGCCTTATTGGTGAATAGCAGATATCATTTTTTATTCATGCCCATATCAATTAATTTCTGTAAAATTAGTAACATCTAACATGTTTATTTCATTTTTCAGTAGCCATTATATATATATATATATATATATATATATATATATATATATATATATATATATATATATTTAGTGACACATTATATCTTTTTATTGATGAATTTCTATTCCCTCGATGCCTCAGTAAGGGAACCCTCCATTGCAACCCCCAGAATTCTGATAATACCAAATAGAGGGAGCCTGTCCAAATTTTGTTTTCATGGGTTCCCTTCTGCATTCATTCTTTTCTCTGCTTTGCTTTCATATTTCTAATTATTGCTAGACTTTTTTCTCTGTAGATCCTTTAGATGTCAAGAAGCAAATTCACATAAGAGAGGTTTCTCCTGAAGAGGTTCTTAATCTTTGTTTTTCTGCTATATATGAACAGAGTTCCTTCCTATAGATTTCGAAAATACCTTACTAGATTTACCCATAGCTACAGACTTCTGTATGACTCTCAGATAGTATGTCTCACAAAAATGTATCTTTGCTTTTTTAAAAAAAAACTTATCAGCTGAATGTGCCTGCCAAGATTATAAACTCAGAAAGAAGATAAGAGAGGTAATTTTATCCTTTCAGTGTCTTAAATGGAAGCCTAATGAAATTATGTTATTAACAAGTTATTAAATAAATAGACAGGATTTTAGTACATTGCAATGTTTCTGATAGTTCATCTTGACTAATGGACATGGATATGAAAGGAAAATGATAGCATTTTTTTATTTTTTAATAATCCAACTATTAGGAATGTCCTTTGTTTTCCAAATAATATTTCAGTCTTTTGTCTTCATGAAGACATTCCATAAGAGATAAAGAGATAATGCATAATCCAGTGATATGATGTTATTGTCCTTTGCCTTGTTGTTGAAAATCTTTATTCAGAAATGAATGTCAGAACGTTAATAGAGCCTTGCCTAGCTTAATTTGCTATTTTTGCACTGGCTTATCAGATATTGATAGGAACCCCACAATCGAGACATGAACCCAAGATTGCTATTTCATAAATGTTCTTCAGCAGTTAGTATATAAAAGTACTGTGATACTTAAAATAACACATAACCTTTATGACTAGCTGTTGTTCGTAGTGTTTTATATGTTATATCCATGAACATATAAATGTTATATCCATTTAATTTTTTTACAAAAGTATTGAATTCACAGTCATAAATACTGGGTCTTAAGATAGCTGATTCTGTATGCTGCTTCCTTTTATTATTTGGGGTTTTCCACAATTCAGCATAAAATAATTTTCCTTATCAAAACAGCTTAAAAAAATTGGAAAAGATATTGGAATTCAGTAAACTTGAACTCAGGAGAATAAGTTAAATATATTCAGGATGGAACAGAGGAGTTATTAGAAAAGTGAACATTGTCTAAATTTAAATAATGTAAGGAAATGTGTTCTGAATAGAGAAGCTAAAGCCAGCATGGAATCAGGGATTGGAGAAAGCACACAGCGATGAAGTTTGGGAAAGGACGATCAGGTGAGAAGAAGGCTGAGAGGAAGGAGACTGAGATAGGTATAAAAATGGAGAAATAATGGTGCCTTGGAACTGCAACCATGAAGGATTGGAAAATTTACATATCAGTTTGAAATAACCAATTAAATCTTTTGACAGCAGATATCTGTGTTGACTGTATTCCGTTTTAATGAGATCAATCAACAGTAATTAGTTACATCAATATAAACAATCAGTACCAAATTTAGAGACCCAGGATAAAATTGTTCCTTAGAGGTCATGGAGTGAATATGATTACAACAGCTCTTGAAATAAGAACTACCCATCTGACATATATACTGTTGTTTTAGCACATCCTGGGAAATTTAAATTGTGGTGCTGAAAGTTGTCTCAAAACACAGTGAGGAAGGCCTGGAGCAGGTTTGTGGCAATGCTGGTTTTGGTTAGGAATGACAGCAGTTCATACCAATAAACTAGTAATAGGCCTGCTGACACTTTCTTACATAGGAACATATAATTAGGTATCCACACATCAGATTGGTTAGTAAGCTTCTAAAAACATTATTTCAAAACCCTAACAATAATAAGAATAATATTGGGATCCAAAACTGATTCGCAATTCTGAATTTAAAGCAGAATTTGATTCTTTTAGTCAATGATGAAATTAGCATGAACTATCATTGCTATCCAAGTATCCATTGCTACTTTTAGAACAAATTTTATAATTGTTTAATTCATATGATAAGACTTTTATATTACCAACTGCAGTATTTAGGACAACCTTCCATAATGGCTTAATTAATCCTGTAACTTATAGTGAAAAGAATCTGAAGAGTATGGGGAGGGGGCTTAATACACTGGAACAATTATATCAAAAGCTTTGTTTCGCTCATACCACTGAGTCTTTTTCCCACTTCTGCATGCAGTTAAAAACATAAATCTGTTGTACATATAATTTGTGATTGGGCAAAATTGTTTATGGAGACCGACCAAACATAACCTTTGGCCTGACTACATAAAAGCCAAATGTAAGAGGCAGTAATGGTATGGGATTTGACTAATTGTAAATAAATGCTAGTTGCTATAATTTCAACATAGAAAAGGCACCTATTTTTTTCAACAGGGCTTCTTTGTTTTAAGCCTTGTAAAAAGCCAATAAAATGATGTATTAAATGTCCAGTGCATCATTTCAGAAGACTTGTGTACACAATCAAAACTTTTGCTAACATTTTTGTTGTAATATTTGCAGTCCTTTTTCTAATACCTATGCAAAACTGCATGAACTATTCTGTAAAATACATGTGCAAGAATCCCATATTATCGTTGTTTTTCTGGTACTATATGTGTATTTGCTTCATTGGAACATCTAAAGTCAATAAAGTACTGAAAGGTCTCTTAATTTTTCACTTTGACTGTTTCTTACTTCTGCCATGAAATATATAAATAAAAAAAACACTTTGGATATGTAATATTTCATTAAAATTTTCATTTTAATATGAACAACATTCAATCTTTATTAAAATCCAATGTAATCTCTGAAAATATATGTCAATGCAAAAAAGGATGTCTTTTAATGGAAATAAATATTGTGTCTTTCATCAGGAAAACATTTTACAAGAAATCTCCATATAATTTTCTTCTATCATTACCCATTACCCTAACATCTTAGATTAAATCAATCTAGTTCTGGTTTATCAGAACCAAGTTGCTCAGCAAGTTTGCCTTAACTAATATTCTGACAAATTTTTAACTAAATCTCTACAACAGGATAGTTCCATATTTTGAATTTGGAGATAAATCCTAAGCTTTTTCATGAAATTCTGAGGTATTGTGAGGAGGTTTCTACAGTCACCAAATGGCTAGATGGCCATAAAGCACTAATTACTTTAACAGCAAAACTTTTCTACCCCACCTTTTCTTCTGTCCCTGCCAGAAGACTATCTAATACTCTTGAGTATCTAATCTTACATTACTTTTTTAACTGGGAAAGTGAACACTCTCCCAAGCAAAATGCTAGGCTGCTGACATCTCCCAGTATTTTTTATGACTGTTTGTGACACCTAAATCTGTTTGTACCCAGATTATAGAGGCTGCCACTTTGCTACTTGCTAGAGTTTTATTATTTTTTTTAAATAGAACTTTAATATAACTTTTTTTAATAGAACTCTTAGCCATGTCAAAGTGTTTGAAAAACATGTAATCTATTTTCTAAAGATTTTCTTTAGAAAATCTATTTTTTAAAGGTCATGGACTTGACCTGGACTAAATCAGTGATGTTCATACTGTTAATTCTGTTAAGAAAAATTTAAATGATGGCATGAAGAAGACAGATTATACATTGCATCCCGACTCATTATTTTAGTTTATGAAGGAATTTTATTGACAGTTGTCAAGTTCCTGCCCAGAAAATGAGAGCTCATCTTGAAATATATCTAGCTTCATCCAATTGCCTGATTTCAGGTTATAAAATATATTGTTTGTTTTTGACTTAGCATGTTATGTGCACGCAGCCATATGGCTTGCAAACTATGGTTTATGGTTGAGCATGTTCTGCAAACCCAGCCAGTTGATGTTTATCCAGTAATGCTAGTTCACAGCTCTTTTCAAGCCAAGGTTCACTTTTGGCTTTAGAATAGCATTCAAGAGGCTGCACCCTAGAAAAATTAATGGGACCATCATAAAGAAGAGGGTGAGTCTAGGAATAAGCTTTATTTGAATTAATGTTATTCAATAAAATTAAATAACATTATTATCTATCATGTAATGTTTTCCCCTTTGATTAATTTCAATATTACAGATTAATTGTACAGTAACTTTTGCAAATACTTTAGCATCTGAATTCTAGGATTTGGCAGTCAGTATGGATTTCTGGGCCTCAGATTGCCCATCTCTGTTTTAAAGTATGGCCAAACCAACCATGCCACAATGTATTAGCCCAGCTTTCCCAGCTAGGAAAAGGGAACTACTGGCCTACAAAATTCTGTAATTTTGTCTGCCTGTCTTCTATCACAGAATCATCAAATTATCATAAAATCATAGGACTGGAAGGAGGATGGTCTTCTAGTTCAACCCCCATCCCAAGTCAGGAATCGTTATACCATCCCAACAAATGATTGTCTAATCTTTTCTTGAAACCACCAGTGATGGAGCACCCACAACTCTGGAAGGCAAGCTGTTCCATTGATTAATTGTTCTCACTGTCAGGAAATTTCTCTTTTCCAGGTTGAATCTTCCCCCCAAACAAGCTTCCACCCATTGCTTCTTATCTTACCATCAGGTGCTATGGAGAATAAATTGATGCCCTCTTCCCTGTGACTGTCCTCAAGTATTGAAAGATTGCTACCATGTCCCCCCGGAGCCTTCTTTTCATTAGGCTAAACATACTTAGTTGCTTTAGCTGTTCATCATATGATTTAGCCTGCAAATCTCTGATTAACTTTGTTGTTCTTCTCTGCATTCTTTCTAGGGTCTCAGCATCTTTTTTATATCATGCTAATCAGAAATGGATGCACTATTCCAAATGTGGACTTACTAGTGCAGTACTAGTGCGGTACTATCACTTCACATGATCTTGATGTTATCCCTCTGTTAATGCAGCCTAGAACTGTGATTTCCTTTTTGGCAGTTGCAGCACACTGCTGACTCATACTTAATTGTGATCCACTAGGACACTTAGATCTCTCTCACAGATAGTACTATTAGCCAGGTACCTTCTACTCTATACCTATGCATTTTATTTTTCCTTCATAAGTGTAGGATCTTACTTTTCTCAACACTGAAGTGCATCTTATTTGTTGAGGCCCAATGTTCAAGACTGTCAAGATCCTTCTGAATCTTGAGCCTATCTTCTAAAATGTTGGCAATTCCCCCCATATGGTGTCATCTGCAAATTTAATGAGTTCCTATGTAAGCTCCTTACCACTGCTTTTTTTTTCAAGAATCCAATTCTGGTTATATGCTGGATCTTCTTCTCACCATAAAATATTCATTTTCCATAGACTAAAGGCTTAAATCCAGTGTTGTCAGTTCTTTTGGATATATTCAAACATTATCTGAAGCTCTTCCTTGTATGACACAATACTACTCAGAAAAGGAGAATGCCCTCAACTGAGAGAATTGTAAATATTAATTGTGTGCACACATTTGGATAGGGAGTGGTGTCAGGACTTTGGATATACAGTGATAAGAAAGTGCTGTGTTAGCATCTTTTGGAAAGATTTCTTATTTTTCTTACCAAACTGGCTTATAGGCACCAGTTGCTTGTGGAGACATGACAAGGAACATATGTAAACATAAATTAATGCATCCCTATCAGCTGCCCTCCATTTGCTCTAGATTGCATCTGGTTTCACTCCAAGGACTGGAGGGATAATTGGATTGATGCTACACCAAAGCTTGAAACCTGTAGCTGCGTGCATTTTGTGATAATGCAAATCCCAGGAGATAGTCATAATTTCAGTGTGCTTGAATGTAAGAAAGGCTGTCCACAATTGTTTTGTTTTCCTGGCTCTATAAACATCGATGGTTACAGTTGTATTTGGTTGCATATATATTTATTTCATATTGTTTTAATTGCTTTTAATTTGGTTTTATGCTCTATGATGTACACTGCTCAGAGTCATTTGTTGAGATGGGCATCTATAGAAATAAAAAAAATAAATATATACATTTTTCATATGAGAATTCTGTATTGAGAGAATACAACAGAAGTCTTACTACATTAGTTCATTGCCCTGCAGGAAATAAAATAAAACAAGACTGATTTGCATCTTCTTTGCTGTCGTTTGCTATAACAGATTATATCATCCACCCACCCACCCCCACACACTTCATATACAACTACAGGTATTATTTTTAAGAAGGCATTATAAGGTAAATTAGTCCTATAATTTAGCAGTGAGATTTGCTCAGTTCATTGTGTGGAGGGGGGAGGCAAAATGGAACAAATTGCCATGTCCATTTTGCCATGGCTAATTCACTGTGGCTGTCAACACTGCTAACATTGGATGTTCTTGCTTTTGACAACAGATGGAAATGCAGCCATTTTTCACTATTGCTTTTAGAGTTAGTTGATGCTAGGAGGAGGAATGTGGATGAGAGTCCAGCTAGTCATAACAATAATAACTCAGCTATGGGAACCCAAGGTCATTGAGCCCAGAGTTGATAGAGTTTTGGCGGGCTGGAGAGCTGGGGAGAAAGTCCACGCTTCAAGCTAATTGAGGAATGTGATTTATGACTGTTTATTGGAGGAAGGAATTGTGCTTTATTACTTTGTATCCAGGAGAGGGGGGGTTAGTTTTTGGTTTTGACTATGTCATGTCAATAATTTGTTTCTCGAATAAAAATGAAGAGTTTCATCTGTTGGAACCATGACATTAAACCAAAAACTACAATTTTTACCTAACTATCTTGGGGTCCTGAGCCCCAGTCATTGTCCCTTGAATTGAGGGATTCACCAACAAAGATTCGGGGAAGATCTCAACATGGAGAAGGAAGGAGCACCTGAAACCAGCACTCCGGCAGTGGCTGCTACCTTAGAGGAGAGAGCGCAGGCCAGCACGCTGGTGGAGAAGGAATTTTTTCAGGTCTCTCAGATGGGGGCAAGACCCAAGCTGTGAGGACAGCTGATCTGATCGTTGGAATAGACCTTACCCAGTGGAGACTCCAGACACCTTGAGACAGCCTTGCCGCAATCAAGTGCTTTGAAGGTGACTGAGGTCAAGCTGCAAAGAGGGGCTTCCCACAAGTTGCATTCCCCAGACCGGTGGAGAACCATGAAATTGAATACTGCTGAGGATTCAGGTGAGTGAAAGTACCTGTCTGCAGTCCATAGTCAATCAGTGGAGAAGTTGGTGGAAAGATTTGAGGAGCTAGAGATGAAAAGTGGAGAACAATCCTGCCATTCTCCATACATGAGTGATCAAGATGATCGGCGAGGCAGCCATCAACTCATGCCAAGGGGAAGCCTTGTGCAGGTCAAGCAGCTTCCTGTGCAGGTCAAGCAGCTTCCCTGTCCTCAAAGCCACCTACCATGGCCTCCAGCCCCATGAAGAAAGACAGCTCCAGTCATCACCCCTCCAAAAGCCCAGATCGCTGCCAGTAAGATAAGAGCCCGAGCCGTCACCACGACAGCCAAAGCCCGGATCAACATGCTTACTGGCCACCCATCCTGGGACCCATACAGCAATGGGAGATGTCGCAGCCCCCATAGATGGGAGGCCAGCAGTCGTGGTGGTGCAGCAACCAAACTGGGGATGGCCGCAGCCCCCATATGTGCAGCAGCAGATGGGGGCCTTGCAGCAACCGGGGATAATGCAACCACCAGAGGATCAGCAACCGCTGGGAGTACAGCAGCAGCAGGGGGGCTGACTGCCATCTCCTAACATGCGCTGAGGGGCCCATAA